ATGTTAAAAAATGTACTCCATGATTTCTGCCTCCTCCACATTTAACTTTTAAAAGTTATGCTGATTGTTTTGAGTGTTTTTAATGCAAAACTGTGGTGACTAGACCAAAATGGGTTTTTAATGGCTCATATGGGTAACTAAAGAGTGGGGTGATGGACTGCCCTTGTAATAACAATAGATGCATATGTTATAGAAAACTATCAAAGATTATCATCCAATGCTGATGACCTCAAAATATATTCAAATATGGGCTGTTATATCAGTGGTTACCAAAAAAAAAAAAAAAAAATATGAGGGGGGGAAAAAAAGACCATGTAATTAGCATTGCGATCCCTTTTAAATGAAAAAGCTGGTGTAAAAGGAAAGCTCCGATAACACTTTAGAATAAGGAACACATTCACTATTAAAGTGCCCTTATTATGCCATTTGGAATATTGTCTTTTATGCAGTGTGTAATGTAGTTGTATGCATGCAAACGATCAGCAAAGTTGTAAAGTCGAAAGTGCACAATAAACAAAGTTATTGCCTCCCAAAAAGAAAGAATCGTCTCTAAACAGCCCGAACGAGTCGTTAGTCATTCGAATCCCATTTCCGTGATGGCTACACATCACTGGGTAACACATTTGCATAATGCCTGCTAGAGCCCAACCGATATGGGTTTTTTTGGGGGCCGATGCCGATATTAGGGAGCAAAAAAAAATACCGATATCGATATATCAGCCTATATTCTTTATGTGTAGGCTATATTATAGTACAGTATATTCAAATGTTTGGACACACTTCCCATTCGTGTGTCCGAACTTTTGACTGGTACTGTATATAGAATACAGTATATAGCCTACAGAATATATATACATAAACACATTTTTTGCAATGATAACTCAAATGTGGTGATCAAACACGTATAATGATGTGACAAACATAGGCCTATGTAGTACAGGCAGGGTATTTAACAATAAACTTTATTATTCAAAATGAGTCTGACATCAGTGCACATAAAGGATTAGTTCACTTCTGAATTAAAATTCTCATAATTTTCTCACTCCCATGTCATCCAAGATGTTCATGTCTTTCTTTCTTCAGTCGAAAAGAAATTAAGGTTTTTGAGGAAAACATTCCAGGGTTTTTCTCTATATAGTGGACTTCAGTGAGGTTCACTGGGTGGAAGGTCCAAATGGCAGATTCAGTGCAGCTTCAAAGTGTTCTACACGATCCCAGACGAGGAATAAGGGTCTTATCTGGCGGAATGATTGGTCATTTCCTAAAAAAAAAAAAAGAAAAATGTATATACTTTAACCTCAAACGCTCGTCTTGTCTAATTCTGCGTGAACTCTGTGCATTCCGGTTCATGACAGTTAGGGTATATCGAAAAACTCCCATCTCATTTTCTCCTCCAACTTCAAAATCATTTTAAATCGCCCTACATGGCTGTTTTACCGTTTTGTTTTAAAGGGGTTTGACCTTCTTTGCACGTTCACTTTGTAAACACTGGGTCGGTACTTCTGCAGCGATGTAGGATGATTTTGAAGTTGGAGGAGAAAATGAGATAGGAGTTTTTCGACCTACCCTAACTGTTTCGAATGAGACTGCACAGAGTGCGCATGTGCATTGCAGAGCTACACAAGACAAGCGTTTGAGGTTAAAAAGTATATAATTTTTATTCTTTTTTTAGAAAATGACAGATCGTTTCGCGGTAAGACCCTTCTTCCTTGTCTGGGATCGTGTAGAACGCTTTGAAGCTGCACTGAAGCTGCAATTTGGACCTTCCACCCAGTGAACCCCACTGAAGTCCACTATATAGAGAAAAACCCTGGAATGTTTTCCTCAAAAACTTAATTTCTTTTCAACTGAAGAAAGAAAGACATGAACATCTTGGATGACATGGGGGTGAGCAAATTATGAGGAAATTTTGATTCAGAAGTAAACTAATCCTTTAATAGTAAACTTCACTTCCCTTATTATAAATAACTTAACACAAATGGAACAAAATATATACAGTGCTGCTTGGAAGTTTGTTAACCTTTTAGAATTTTCTATATTTCTGCATAAGTATGACCCAAAACATAATTAGATTTTCACACAAATCCTGAAAGTAGAGAAGAGAATCCAATCAAACAAAGAGACAAATATAAATACTTTGTCATTTATTTATTGAGAAAAATTATCCGGTGTTAAATATTTGGCAAAAGTTAAATAGTGGCAAAAGTATGTGAATCTTTGCTTTCAGTATCTGGTGTGACCCCTTTTTGCAGCAATAACTGCAAGTAACGTTTCTTGTACCTGCTGATCAGTCCTGCACAACGGCTTGTAGGAATTTTAGCCCATTCCTCAGTACAGAACCACTTCAACTCTGTGATGTTGGTGGGTTTCCTCCTATGAACTGCTTGCTTCAGGTCCTTCCACAAAATTTCAATTGGATTAAGGTCCAGAATTTGACTCAGTCATTCCAAAACATTAACTTTGTTCTTCTTTAACCATTCTTTGGTAGACTTGTGTGCTTGGGGTCGTTGTCTTGCTGCATGACCAACTTTCTCTTGAGATTCAGTTCTCGGACAGATGCCCTGACATTTTCCTTCAGAATTTGCTGGTATAATTCAGAACTCAATGTTCCATCAATGATGGCAAGCCGTCCTGGACCAGATGCAGCAAAACAGGCCCAAACCATGATACTAACACCACCATGTTTTACAGATAGGATAATGTTCTTATGCTGGAATGCAGTGTTTTCTTTCTCCAAACATAACACTGCTCATTTAAACCAAAATGTTCTATTTTGGTCTCATCCATCCACAAAACACGTCTCCAATATTCCTCTGGCTTGTCCACATGATCTTTAGCAAACTGCAGATGGGCAGCAATGTTCTTTTTGGAGAGCAGTGGCTTTCTTCTTGCGACTCTGCCATGGACACCATGGTTGTTCAGTGTTCTCCTGATGATGGGCTCATAAACATTAATATTAGCCAATGTGAGAAAGGCCTTTAGTTGCTTAGAAGTTAGCCTGCAGTCCTTTGAAACCTAGTGGACTTTTACACATCTTGCTTTTAGAGTGATCTTTGTTGGTGGACCACTCCTGGGGAGGGTAACAGTGGTCTTGAATTTGATTTTGGTCTGACTGTGGATTGGTGGAGTCAAAACTCTTTAGAGATGGCTTTGAATCCTTTTCTAGCCTGATGAGCAACACCAACTCTTTTTCTGAGGTCCTCAGAGATCTCATTTGTTTGTGCCACGATACACTTCCACAAACATGACCAAACTTTGATAGATCCCTGTTCTTTAAATAAAACAGGGCACACACTGATACCTGATAGTCATCTCACTGATTAAAAACACCTCTGAACAGATGGACTCTAATTTCACCTTCAAATTAACAGCTAATTTTTGTAATTATTTTATCTTTGTTATTAAAAAATAAGAACAAAGATACACATTACAAATACACATAATATACAAATAATACAAACAGCGCTTTATTTTTCAGGTGCAGTAGGTGTATTTAGCAACATTCAAGAAACTGAATTAACAAATATAAATATAAAACACTATATACACAATATTCTTCAGTTATACATTGATTCTTATTAAAGCAACTGTATCAAATTTCTTCAGTCAAGAGCAGTGAGTGATTTTTCTCTTTGTGTTTTGTTGTTTTATTAACATTAAAGAGACAGTTCACCCAAAAATGAAAATGATGTCATCATTTACTCACTCTCAAGTTGTTTTAAACGTGAAGTTGCTTTCTTCTGTTGAACATAAATGTTATTTTGAAGAATGTGGGTAACCAAACAGTTGCTGGTCCCCAATGACTTCCATAGTATTTTTCCCACTATCAAAGTCAATGGGGACCAGCAACTGTTTGGTTATCCACATTCTTCAAAATATTTTCTTTTGTGTTCAGCACAAGAAAAAAATTAATACAGGTTTGGGACAACCTGTATTTTGACAGAATTAGCGCAATCATACGCGAAAGATATGCAAATAATGTACTTTTGTGATTGCAAATAAGTGCAGTGTCCTGTGAATATAACTCTACCACTGAGCTAACATTTGATGTGAATGTATGTCGCGTTGTACAGTATATTGAGACAGAGGCGCCAGAACTGCATCTGATGTACACTGTAGCATGATATTTCTTTAAAAGCAGATCACAGAGATATTTTAATCATCCACGATCAAAATTCGTCATATCGCACACCCCTACAGTGGTTTTGTTTTTGATGGTAATGCGCCACCGAATACACAGTAAATGGAAGAGAGGGGTGAGCAGTAGCTCATTATCATTAAAAGAGACATGCTCCGAAATGGCTCGCTATGTACAATTCTTTTTCACAAGGTAAAAAGGGTGTTGTTTTAGGGGGCGTTTACATATTGCATCGATTGTGCGCTCAAGTTCGTTATTTCAAATGTAGATGCACGGCAAGTGCGTGCAAATAGAGAGCGATGCGGTCGTGACGCGCATAAGGTGCAACATGCAAAATTTTTTCATTCGCCGGAGCGAGATAAAAACAAAGTTTTCAGAGTGGAGCGAGCACACCGCAGGTCATGTGACAAGAACCAACCAATCACCTTTCCGTAACAACATTGAAATCTCAGACAAGATGGAGGAACAGCTGATTATAGCTGTACATGGATAGCCATTTTTAAATAGGACTAAATTTAGTAGCAGAGCTACTGCAAGCGATTTTCAGTGCTGGAAATCCATTTATCCTTTGCTGAAACTTCTGCGTCATCATGGAGAGTGCAGGTCACGATTGCTTAGCAACGGCAGATGCCACGGGTGCACAGGCTCACAAGTTCTCAAGTGTTTTGGAAAGAGGGAGAAAGTGGTGCGACTAGTGTTTTCCACGCGATTTTAGGCACAACATGTGAACGGCCTCTTACACGACCATTGAGGAATTTTAACTGAAGTGTTACAGACATTTCATGAAGACCCTAAAGAATCATACCAACAAAATGGGCATCCAATGTCCCCTTTAAAATAATGTGTTACCGAAGTTCCTTACTGTTTCAGGAGGTAAAGTGACAGGTGATTGTAGGCTGTACGTAAAAAATCCCTTTAGTCTTGGTGAGGTGCCTGAAACCACAAATACAGTATGCAGTCAATATGGCAGGTCTTATGGATATGAATTGTTTTTTGTGACTTTACTATCAATCAAGGAAGTTTAATTTGCTGTAACCATTGCGCTAAATCATAGAAAACTAAAATTGTATTATACCAGCAAACTGCAAGCGATAAACACTCCTGAAAGTATCCATTCAATCACTGTCAACAATTGTATATCAAGTACACAGAAATGCACTCAAAATTCCCATCTTGCTGCTCTATAATATTAAATGAAAATATTGATTCTCTCATTTTCCAACTTTGAAGTTCACTCGGCAATGCCAACTGATCAATCCGCGATCTTCAGAAGATCGTACATTATGCTCATTCATAACATCAAAATGCTTTTAGAGAAATATCCAGTAATCCCCAAGAACATTTCTCAGGCCTCTTTCTCAACACTCATATGGCTTTGCTCTGCACTAGAAAAAAAAAACAAAAGAACCAACAAATGGTGCTTAATTGTTACAGAGTTAGATTTTTTTCTTCTTCTTTAGAGCTTGGATATCACCACCTGTTTGACTAAGTACGTATAAAGACAGCATTTGGATTTTTGACAAGAACTTTCTGAACTTTAAATAATGTTGTCATGGCATTTCAGTAAACATTTCAATTTGCTTGGGTAAACTGGCGCACAATGAGCGAAACCACATGTATGGCAACTCCTGGACACAACAGCGTGTCAGAAGCACAAAAACTCAGCATGTTTTCCAGCCTTGAGAGCATGTCAAGCTCAGACTGGGCTGTGTCCAAGAGCTGCAAGGAGCATTTTTCAAACAGCTTCTTGAAGTAAGGTGACAATGACTCAAACCGATTCACTTTCAGTTGGTTTCTCATAGCAGCAAGCAAAAAAAGGCTGTACGTATTCACTTTCATGTGAATGAGGCAGGAGTTGAGCACTGAGCGTTGAACGTTTAAGATAATTGCCGCGCTTTCATAATGATCTATCCGATAAAGCCTTACATATATCAAATAAACAAGCAGCAACACGTCAATTAAGACCACCCGAATTGCTTCGAAGTTCAAACCAGCAAATAGGCCAAAATTTTGATATAAACACACATACAGATGTAAACAGAAGATCAAAGAAAAGATCCATCGTGTTTTGCCTTTGAATTCATTTGAACAATCAATTGGGGAAAAAAATTAACCTTCTCGCAAAACTAATTAACATGTATGCTATGATAAGGTAATTAGTACTCGAGCCAGTTTCCTGATTAAGCATACTCTAATTGAGAGCATGCTGCTATTGAGAGGGAAGAAAAACTCAATTCCCTTGGAGGGCACTTAAACGATGTCCCTTTCACAAACACGTAAGCAGAGACAAAACAACTCTAAGGCTGGGACAAAATGCACATTAATTACCAATCAACAATATTGGCAACTACTCTATCCTTTCTCAAACATGTTTCTTCACTATTTATGCTTTTTAAAGAATATTTTCACAGTGTTCAGAACTTATTACTCTGATGTGTTGAAGTATAAATAAATAAATATCAATAATAATAAAATACTAAAACATTCTATTTACACCATGAGTCAAAAGTTTGGAATATTTTTTTTTATGTTTTTGTAAAAAGGTTTCTTATGCTCAGCAAGGCTGCATTAATTTTATCAAAAAAATTCCATGTAAATATTTTTTAAAATGTAATTAATTGTGATGGCAAAGTTGAATTTTTAGCAGCTATTACTCCAGTCTTCCATATATATATATGGTCCACAAAACCAATCTTAAGTAGCTGGGGTATTTTTTAGCAATAGCCAAAAAAAACATTGTATGGGTCAACATTATCGATTTTTCTTTTATGCCAAAAATAATTCATGTTTCATGAAGATATATTGTAAATTTCATACTGTAAATATATCAAAACTTAATTTTTGATTAGTAATATGCATTGCTAAGAACTTCATTTGGACAACTTTAAAGGCGATTTAGATTTTTTTTGCACCCTCAGATTTCAAATAGTTGTATCTCGGCCAAATATTGTCAGATCCTAATAAACCATACATCAATGGAAAGTTTATTTATTCGGCTTTCAGATGATGTCAATTAAGACTGGTTTTGTGGTCCAGGGTCACATATGAATAAAATATTTTTAAAAAACATAGAAATCACATACATTTCTAACATATTTAATTTTAGCCATTCATCATATTTTCTTTGTGGCCAGCGAAAATGTTGCCAGAACAAGCTACAAGGAATTGCTTTGTAATTCAGTTTGCTTTAATTTCAGAAGTGCAAGACTGAGTACCAGAGAGGTTACAATGAGTAAATTCTGTACTGACTCGGTGAAAAACACTGGTGTGAAGGTCCCCACAGCCAGCTGAGTTCATAGATTAAAACATATGGCTCAGAGTTTCTCAACTTGTGCATGGCTTACATCTGTTGATCATGTGCATGTGTTTTTATGCCTTTCAAACATATACATTTGGACTTCAAAAATGTTGCTGTTAAATCTGATCATTTAAATGCCACGGTGATGTTATCAAGCTGATGGAAGTTTTATCAACATTTTAAAAGTGACAGTCTTGAAAACATCAGATAAAATAGTATAAAATATTTAAAACATGCCATTGTTTTCCAGTAAAAGTGAGATTATGAATCTGTTTTATGGAGTCATATAACATAAGCTGCAATTTCCTGATATCAATGCAATATAAGTTATTTATAAATAAATAAATACTATTTTATAGAAAACATTTTGTTTTCTGTCACATAATAAGAATAATATATATATATATATATATATATACACAAAATAAATATATCAGATTAATTAATTTTTATGGGTAAAAATCTGAGTTAGTGGGTCAACTGGTCCAGAAGCAAATAAACTTTACTACTGAACCCTACCTCTTGCATATTACAGAACATGAGAAATCACAAGAAAACAACTGTATGCAGTTCTTATATGCTGCAGCTTTTCCGGTTGTTTCCTTTAGAACTGAATTAGAAATATGAATGGCAATTTTTGCAAAGAAAACGTCTGGGAAGTATCTTTGCACATTATGTATGACATAAAGGTCTACAAATCCAGTGATTCTAATTCCTAGAAAGATCAGCCTCCTATTGCTTAGGGATTCGCTGTACATTTCAGGAGTCCAAGCATTGGCTGCTGCTCTTCAGCTCTTCGGGGCTAGATCAGTGAGAAACTGATCCAACGAGCTGATCCCAGCTCAGCTGTCAACTTCACAGCTGGCATAAAGGGACTTGTGAGTATCACACCATTTTAACATTTAATCCAGCCTCTAATCCAATCCATTTGGATTTACAATCCAATAAAAGGACAACCAGGATGACTAGGGCTATAAATCAACTATTTCAATGGTAACAAATCAGTGAGCTCTTACTGTACAGAGAGAGTCTTGATCATTAAAACATTTTATCATTGATTCAAACTCTTTTCATTCAATTTTAGTACACCGTTTTGAATAGACATACACTTCCAGTCAAACATTTAGACACACCTGAATTAATTAAAATTTCCCATGATCTTAAACATATTTGATCTAAAGGCTCATGCTTAAATAATTTAAATTAGTTTAGCAGATAAATATAAATTACGCTACACATAAAAATCAATTAGCAGACAGCGGAGGAAAAGCAGCGGTCAAATGTCCAGGATTAAAAGAAAAACTTTTATTTCATTTAAAAAGCATCCCAGCTGGAATCTAAACAAAGGGTGGTAAATGTGAAGATTCTTAAATATAATTTATCCTTTTTGGTCACTATAATGCCATACTTCCATTAGTGTTTTTTTAATTATTATTTTAAAATATGAAAAATAAATAAATAAATAATCCAAACTTTTGACTGACAGTGTATAAGTAAATAAATAATTAAATAATTTGTAAATATGTGTGTCAAACTTTTGACTGGTAGTAAATAAATAAATAAATAAATATTGAATGAAATGAAATGAATATATATATATATATATATATAAATCACAAAAAGATGTGTCCAAACGTCTGACTGGCACTGTATAATATAAATATAATATGATGAAATATAAATAATATAAATATATAAATAAATATAATATGATAAAATATAAAATGGCACTTTCATTGTCAATTTAATTTAAGTTTAAGTCCATCTACACATTTGCAGCAAAAAAAAAAAAAAAAATTGTATTCACTGGGAGAGATATTTAAAAAGTAAAAAAAGTGACAACTTCCAGTCAACTATAATAATTAACTATAATTTTTAACTGCCTTCAAATATGCAAATGATAAAGTACTTGGTTTCCTCGGTGTGACAACAACAAGCTATAATTAACTCGTATTGTCGAATTAACTCCTATAACTAAACAACGTATTGCCGCACATTGACAGCGTCCAGAGTTGCCGTAGAAACAAGAAGCTGGCTGCATCCTCAACCAAAGCCATCCAGTGTCTGGCCAATGGCCTGCCTTTCCAGTCAGGCAACCCAGCATGAACGCCACACGGTAAAGAGGGACAACAGCTGCCCGAACACACAGCAAGACACGGGACGCAGCAACCTCTATCCCACGTTATGATCCAGACATCACAACTTCATGCATTATTCGGCAGGCTGTCTATAACCTCTACGATTCTCAGATTACAGTACCTCAGCGAAGCAATATGTTAATAACCTTTCTGTGCCATAACCACCACACACATCTGAGTCATCATGCTCTTTTGCAAGATTGCGAGTAAATCTGAAAATACCAGTTCTAGAATGCAAAATTTGCATGCTTTTCCTGTAATAAAATGACAAAGCAACATTTTGCACAAATCTATTTTTGGGAAACTTTATATGAAAAATGTTTGAATGGAGGCACAAGATTTGCATTTTTCTCTACAGGTAGTTAGTAAGCACAGTAGTGAAATAACGTGAGAAATAACTCCGGCTCTCCTGCCATTGAGTGCCAAGGCCAAAAAGTTGCAAAGAAAAGCTCAGCCAGTGCTTTTAATCCAGAGGTCCATTTCTGCATAAATGAGCACACAAACTCCAGTGCCTGTTCAAACAGTCTCTTTCTCTCTCCTTCCCTCCTTCTCTTTGTCTCTCCCTCTCAGGCAGCTCATGATAACGGCCCAGCAGCAGCACTGTTTGATCTCCAGTGTTTTCCTTAATCTGGGTTGTCAAGGTTCGCTTGTTGGAGGCTGTTTACTTTACTTCTGCTTATATAAAAATTTTTTTTTAAAAAGCATTCTTTTTTTTGTATTCTCCTTCCCTCAGACAATGACTAATCCAAAGAACTGAGCCGTACCAACGCTGGGTGTTAAAGCTGCTGCTGCTTCCTTTTTTAAAGTGCGATCTTAAAATACGTTTAAAAGTGACATTTATGAGAATCGATAAGAAAAAATGGCAATGGTAAATAATACAATTAATGTTTAGCAAATTCAATTTGTACCTTTTTTATTACACACATAGTAATAATAATATACCTTCACACACAAATGCAAAAAGCGAAATTTCTTATTCCTTGCCATTTCCAAAATTTAAAAAAAGCTGCATTAAATGATTTACATGTGGATCCATTTAGTGTGTGTGTTTATACAAATGTATAACATTGTAATATATGTAAAAATGTATGGCTATGTATCTATGGTACATTTTTCTGTTTGTTTAATTTGTAAATGTTAAAAAAAACAACCAAATATATAAATGTAATATATATATATATTTTTTTTTTTTTTTTAATTTTTTTTTTTTTAAAGAGAGATGAACAATAATGGGACCAAATATAGTATTATGTGAAGAAAACTTAAGGTCTATTATAAATAAATGTAAACTGTTAAAAGTTAAACTGTCATTTTACGAAAAGAAAAGTGCTACTTTTATTCTGTTCAAGTGCACAAGGACTGCATCCGTTTAAAAGTTTCTGTCCTCCACTTTTTGTAACTTTTGCTAGACTGTTATGATTGTATTTATAGTAAATGTATTTATCCATCTGTTACTTATCTCAAACTCCGAAAGTACAAGCAGTAAGGCACATTTAACTCTGAGATTTGTTACGACACAATTATGGTGACAGCTAATTTCACCAGAACTACACTTAAGCTGTGTCTCAAACCCTGAGACGTGACAACATTTATGGAATTGAACGGTCGGTATCCGTCATGCTCAAAAAGCTGTCTAGCTAGGCAGCTTACTAGGTTTTGAAACACAGCCGACTCTTGCTGAAGTAACTTAATTCTGAAATCTGCTGCTCTCAATTCCGTAGCCCAACCGGATGATACACTGCAATTAACTTTTTTAATTCACGGAAACATTTTTTGCGATATTCTGAACAGTTTTCGTACGCATTAATAATGTTGTATTTAATTCCAAAAAAGGGATGCACCAGTATAAGTTTTTTTTATGGTTGAGGGAACACGTGTGGAAAAGTCCCCTATACAACACTGTATCGCCGAAAGAAATCTCGGCTCGCGAACTTTTACGCCGTCAACACAGCGATTCCAATACATCGTTTTTACGCGTCTCGCCACGCCAGAGCTGTCACACATATGTAGCGATACAATGTTGTTTCTACAAAAAAAACTTAACACCGTAACAACTTGCTAGCCACAGAGCTAACTTCTGAAAAAGTACTTGAAGACTGAAAATAAAATGAATCCCCCGGGCTGCCGTTATTAGACACGCGACCGATAATGCTGTTTGTTAATTTGCTTATTACACCATTAAAAACAATAAGGCAACAATTAGATAACAAAGGCAAACTGTCCATATGCCCTAAAATGTTGCAGAATGCTGGAGGAGAATGAACTTACCGGGGTTTGACAGAGACGCGGAAATTTGTGCGCGATAACAAATTAAACTCTTCACGCGATCTTGTATATCATGAGCGCGTGCTATAAACGTACTGTAAATAACCAACAAATATATCACTCCGCCAGCGGCACTAACTTCAGCTGCAAACACTGTACTGGGAACAACGCCGCCGTTTCGAGCCCGGTTTACACCGCCTTTCTCCACGGAGCTGCTTCGGATGATATTACACTTTATCGCGTGTTGTACACACACAGAAAAGAGAGAGAATCGCGGATTTGGATGTTGTTATTTTGTTAAGTTGTACGCCCGTGACGTCACATCCACCTGCTGGGTAAACAACACTCATGCAGATCTTTGCGCTGCAAAACAAAAGCGTGTCAAAAAGTCACACTTTTTTTGTTGTTGTTTTTTGTTTTTTTACCAGACGACGCATGACACTTTTTTTTTTTTGCTAGTTAGTTTGGTAATTGCAACTGATGTAAAACTGTCTTCTTTTCCTAGAAATTGTCCAATGAAGCAAGACAAGGTGGGGGTGAAAGTTCAGGAGAAGGACAACCCATAAGAAAGGAAGTGCAGTTAGTGTGAGGATTTAATAGTAGTCGAAATATCTGCATACAAAGTGAAAGCCCAGTAACCGCTCAGTGCTTATAACCAGATTTAGGCTGAATTCACAGTTCACATAATAGTATAATATTCATAATATAATATTCACTTAACTTTCCTTGGCCTAATAAATAAGGGTAGTTGACATATGTAAAACATGGAGATTTTACATGTATTTAAAAGGGAAAGGGTGTTTATATATATATATATAGATACATTATATTATAGATAGATAGATAGATAGACAGACAGACAGACAGACAGACAGACAGACAAGACAGACAGACAGACAGACAGACAGACAGACTGACAGACCGACAGATAGACAAGACAGACAGATAGACAAGACAGACAGACTGACAGACAGACAGATAGACAAGACAGACAAGACAGACAGATAGACAAGACAGACAGACAAGACAGACAGACAGACAGAAAGATAGATAGACAGACAGACAGACAATACAGACAGACAGACAGACAGATAGACAAGACAGACAGACAGACAGATAGACAGACAGATAGACAAGACAGACAGATAGACAGACTGACAGACAGACAAGACAGACAGACAGACAGATAGACAAGACAGACAGACAGACAGAAAGACAGACAGACAGACAAGACAGACAGACAGACAGATAGACAGACAGATAGACAAGACAGACAGATAGACAGACTGACAGACAGACAGACAGATGGACAGACAGACAGATAGACAAGACAGACAGATAAGACAGACAGACAGACAGATAGACAATACAGACAGAGAAGACAGACAACACAGACAGACAGATAGACAAGACAGACAGACAGACAGATCGACAGACAGACAGACTGACAGACAGATAGACAGACAAGACAGACAGACAGACAGATAGACAAGACAGACAGACAGACAGATAGACAAGACAGACAGACAGACAGACAGATAGACAGACAAGATAGATAGACAAGACAGACAGACAGATAGATAGACAGACAGATAGACAAGACAGACAGACAGACAGACAGACAGACAGACAGATAGACAAGACAGACAGATAGACAAGAAAGACAAGACAGACAGACAGACAGAAAGATAGATAGACAGACAGACAATACAGACAGATAGACAGACAGAGAGACAAGACAGAAAGATAGATAGACAGACAGACAATACAGACAGACAGACAGATAGACAAGACAGACAGACAGATAGACAGACAGAGAGACAAGACCGACAGACAGACAGATAGACAAGACCGACAGACAGACAGATAGACAGACTGACAGACAGACAGATGGACAGACTGACAGACAGACAGACAGATAGACAAGACAGACAGATAGACAGACAGACAAGACAGACAGACAGACAGATAGACAAGACAGACAGATAGATAGACAGACAAGACAGACAGACAAGACAGACAGATAGACAGACAGACAGACAGATGGACAGACTGACAGACAGACGGACAGACTGACAGACAGACAGATAGACAAGACAGACAGATAGACAGACAGACAAGACAGACAGATAGACAAGACAGACAGATAGATAGACAGACAGACAGACTGACAGACAGACAGATAGACAGACAGACAAGACAGACAGATAGACAGACAGACAAGACAGACAGATAGACAGACAGACA